CGCTGAAATTGAGGCCTACACTGAGAAAAAAAATTATTTTTGCCAAGAATATTTTCTTCCTACTAGTAAATCTGGGGATCACTGTGTAAATACTCCCATAAGACTTACTAATGCCAAATATATTTTCTTGTGGTTAGTAACCATTCTTGGCTACAGAAAATTTTTTTCTCAGTGTACATGGAGAGAAATATTCAAGAAAAATTACGAAACATTTCACGTCATCTGCAAGCGACGCAATCATCGCATAAATTCTACAATCTGTTCCGTAAAAATTACTCATCTGCCCGACGCTTCATGGCTAGCCATCGTCACCGTGAGGAGTTTTTCCTGGAACGTTCCGTAAAAATTCCTGAACATCACGGCTAGCTATGAGTCACCATAAGGGTGGATTTTTTGGACATCCAATAATTTTTCTGTTCTGGGGCATAATAAGTCTTGAAGTTTCGTTCGATTTTGAAACGTCCAGAAAAATTATGTGACGTTTTCGTATTTTTTCGGTGACAGAATCCGAATAATTACTGAAAGTTCCAGATTTATTGGTGAAATGTTCCGTAATTTTTCTTGAATATTTCTCTTCGTGTATAAAATCCGATAGTGAAATTAAAATTGCTGTTTACACGAATATTCAGAAAAAAATTAGGAAAATTTAACACAATCTGCAAGCGCCAATGGTTTTATGTGAATTTCTGGAGAAATATGAAAGGAAAATGTGAAACTTTCAGTGTATTTTTGGGTCTGTCGTGTAGTTTATTTGGAAAGTATCGAATCTAACGCAACATTTCGTGAATTTTACATGCATTGCCGGCCATTTTTATTGGACTTTTCTCTCCGTTTATTTACCCTTTATTCCTCTCAACCAACTTCGTTGTCGTAAATATTTTCTAAAGTATTCACGTAAAGTATTTGCGTAAAGTATTCACTTTCTACCCTAGTGTGTAAAGTATTCGCTTTCCACCCTAGGGCGGAAAGTATTCACCTTCCTCCCGTTTTTCAAACAGCAAAACCCTAAGTTTCCTTTACAGACATGTTGAAAAAAATCGCATGTGTACGTCGGACTGAAAAACACTGACTTTCCGCCCTTGATGCCCACCCTAATATGCGAATAAGACTAAGAAGAATGAGAATCTTGCTACGAATATTCATTCTGCGATCACGGTATTCAAGGCGATACTTGAGAATATCAAATCCTCTATATTTTTCAATTGCCTCAATGGAAATTGTCTATGAGTGATTAAATAAGAACCTTTTACAATTTTCCAGGCTTAATAGAAATTTACCTATTGCAGTTTGAATCTGATTACTGTATCATTTTGTCTGTATAAAATTCTCTCTTTTGCATTGAAACGAAAACAATTTCTGGATCTAATTCGTTACGCCAAGAAACATTTTTGGAATATAAAGTACAAAGGATATGGCGAGATTATCATGAATGAAAACATGCAGCGATTGGCTAGAATCGTTTCTTTTGCTATTTTCATGTGTCATTTGACGATATGTATTCATTACGTAAGGCCCTTACTAGGTAATTATAAAATTTCCATTTCCCTTTTTTTCTAGTGCTGAGTAAAAATGGCAAAATTATTATCTGTAGTGAATCGAGGAAGAAATAAGAGTGACAGAGAATTTCCCTTCAGATTGTATTCTAATTTGCCAATTAAATTGTCGCCCTGGTACGAGATTTTATACATCGCACAGGTTTATATCATCCAATCCGAATTCTTCTTTCTTTAGTTTAGAAAATTATTCCGTCTTTTTTTCTTTGCAGGTGTTCTCAACGTGGCCCTGTGGCTACACATACTTTTGCTTCGATAATTTTTTATGTTTAATGAACATTACAGCTACTGCACAATTTGTTATACTCCAGAAAGAGTTGAGAGAAATTTGTGATGACGTGAGTGAATACGATAAGTCGAATGAACATTTGATTCGGTCACGGTTTACTAGATGCATTAGTAGACATCAAAAGCTGATAGCTTTCGTTGAGGACATCAAAGAACTTTATCGAAGTGTGATGGTTGGAGTGGTTATTCTTCTCAGTTTCTTAATCTGCCTGGAAATGTTTCAGCTCATGACCGTAAGATCATCATTTACTAAATTCTATTCAATAATTCACGAAATGTGACGCTGCACTGTTGGAAATTCCGTGAAATCTCATAGTCATCTGAATTTCGGATTATACCTCTCCATATCACGGCACAATTCGTTACACCATCTTATCATGACGCAATTCCTTATCGGTTCGTATTACAGCAAAAATTTGTCAGGACATAATTACAAGATTATTTACTTCTTATTTTTTAAAATACAATTAAGACCCGGGTGGATCATCAATTAAACATCACCTTTTGTTTGACTTCGATCATTTTGGCCTAAAATACATTAAAATTTGGGATCAAATTTGTGTTGCCGGAAGCACTTGAATGGATATAAAAAAATAATGAAAAAAGAGAGGAAAAATTATTGAAGGGCGCTAAAGCGCGATATTGTTTAAAAAGGATCTATAAAGTTTACTAATAAATGATAAAAAATACGTAGCTTACCATGATGTGACACATTGCATTTGTGACCGCAATTATATATCAGATATATATACATCT